ACAATCTCTGTTTATGGATTGGAAGACTCAACACTGTTAGGATGGCATTTCTTCCCAAATGGATCCATGAATTCAGAGTAACACCGAGCAAAAATCCCAGCAGTTTTTTTTTTCTTCTTCCTTTTTCTTTTTTCCCAGACAATGACAAGCTCATCTTAAAATATATAGAGAAATGTAAAGGACCCAAGATAGCCAAAACCATTTGAAAAAGAATAAAGTTGAAGGATGTACACTTTCTGATTTCAAACCTTAAAATAAACACTTACAAATATGGTCAAATGACTTTTGACAGAAGTACCAAGGTCCCCAATTCAAATGAGGAAAGCATAGTCTTTTTGTAACAAATGATATCCACCTGAATTTAGGTCCTTACCTCACACCATACATAAAAATTCATTCAAAATGGCTCATAAACCCATATGTAAGAGCTAAAACTATAAAACTTCTTAGAAGAATAAAACATAGGAGAAAATCCTTTGTGACCTTGGGTTAGGCAGACAGATACAATACTAAAAGCATGATTCATAAAGAAAAACTGAAAAAATTGGACTTCATTAAAATTAAAAACATTTGCACCACAAAAGAAACCATAAGACTGAGAGAAAATATTTGCAAATCATGTCTTATAAAAGGACTTGTATCCAGAATATATTAAGAACTCTTACTATTCAATAATAAGAAAATAACCCCATTTAAACGTGAGCAAAGGATCTGAACAGACATTTCGCCAAAGAAAATACACGAATGGCCCCTAAGTACATGAAAAGGGGTTCACCATCATTGGCGATTAGAGAAATGCAAATCAAAGCCACAAGGAGATATCACTAGAATGGCTATAATAAAAAAAATAGAAAGTAACAAGTGTTGGTGAGGATGTGGAGAAATCTGAACCCTCATACAATGCTGATGGTGGTCTAAAATGGTACACTCTGGAACAGAGTCTGGCACTTTCCTAAAAAGTCAAACATAAACTTACCTTAACGCCAGCAACAGCCCAAGGGAAACGGAAACATGTCCACACAAAGACTTGTACACAAATGGTCACAGCAGCATGTGAAAACAATCCACATGTCTACAACTGGCAGAGTGAATGAACAAAATGTGGTATAGTCACGCAATGGAACACTATTCAGGAATAAAAAGGAATTCTTAATACACACTGCAGCATGGACGAAACTCAGAAACATTATGCTAAGTGTGAAGGATGTCAGATACAAAAAGCACAGACTGTCTGATTCCAAGTACATGAAATGTTCAGAAAAGGCAAACCAGAGCGAGCGAGAGAAAGTAGATTTGAAAAAATAAAGTCTGGCTTATTAAAACTGAAAAAATAAAGTCTGGCTTATTAAAACCACCTGATTGATAAGCATTAATATGCCCCTGAGGCTGGGGCAGGAATGGAGATTGATTGCAAATGGGAACAAGAGAGCTTTGGGAGGTGATGGAAATGTTCTGAAATTGGCTTGCATTTGTAATGGTTGCAACAATTGTGTGAGTTTATTAAAAAATCCTTGACGTGTACACTAATGTGGGTGAGTTTTATGGCAGGGAAATGATAGCTTCTTAAAGCTGTTGGGCTGGGGAGGAAGCAGAGGCTCTAGATTCAGATGGCGTGGACTAAAGTCCTGTCTCCATGATGGGCTGGCTGTGTCCTGTGGGGCGAGCTACCTCAACCACCTGTTGTCCCACGGGAACAGGGACTTAGAGAGCACATCCCTCACAGCGTTATCGTGAGAATTAAATGAGTTAATGCACGTTAAATGCTTCAGCACAGGGCCGGACACATAGCAAGCACTCAGTAACATTCACTATTTTTCTTATTATGATTACATTCAAACAATTATTAAGTTGGGCCAACTTTTCTTAGTAATTAGTTCTCAAATTAATCAACCTTTTCTTTGAAACTGCTTCCCTTTACACTCTGTACCACCTTTTGGATAGAACACTTGCTGCACTCTTCCTAACTTCCTCCAGGTTTGCTCCCTCTTGTGTAGCCTCTAGAGACCACACAGGAAATGTGAACATACCATAGAAAACCGGCTTCCGGGATCGAGTTCAATGGTGTGGAAGGGCCCCATCATCTGGTCTCTCTGTGGAACACTCCACTCCCCCCCTGCACACACACACATCACAGTGGCAAACGTCCCCCTACATACTATGCAGGTGCTCACGCCATATGCCCTCGGCAGCCATGTCCTGGCTCTCCCTTCCCTTCGTCCGTCTGTTCTACTAATCCTCAGGCTTAGCAGTGAGGCAACTCCCCCACCAACCTCCACTGACCCTCCCGAGCCGTGGCCTTTCTACGCCTGTAATAATCACCTGTGTATGTCTCCAATACTGAATTGAGGCACACAACTTAAAGAGCACGTCTCCCATCTGGAAGCGTGAGCCTAGCACAGGCCCTAAGACAACGAGTATACTGCAGGTGCTCAATAAAATGCCGCCTGGCCGGGTGAATAACCAGACTATGCACATTTTCTCAGCTGTTCACATAGGGAAAATGCAGTTAGGTTTGCAAATAGCTTAGGCCTATTTTTAGCATGTCGCTTAAGGAAAATGACAGAGGTTGTCCAGGAAAATGGAAACCTTAGTAAAGCTCTACCTAGTTTGAGGCACTATTGTAAGCAGTGATGAGAGAAGGTACAGGGTCATGCAACCTTTCATCTGAAGCCATTTATACTTTGCACAACTGTCAGTAGTTCATCAAAATTTACAGAGATGGCTGGTAACATGAATCCTTCCAGTGGAATTTTTCCTAACTTACCTGAAATCAGTTTCTAAACTTTGATCTGTTAAGAATTTTTAAGACAGTTCATACTGGGGGTGCCTGGGTGGCTCAGTTGGTTAAGCAACTGCCTTCGGCTCAGGTCACGATCCTGGAGTCCCGGGATCGAGTCCCACATCGGGCTCCCTGCTCAGCGGAGAGTCTGCTTCTCCCTCTGACCCTCCCCCATCTCATGCTCTCTCTCTCTCATTCTCTCTCTCAAATAAATAAATAAAATCCAAAAATAAATAAATAAATAAAAATAAAAAGACAGTTCATACTGGGACCATAAGACAATCAAAATCAAATTTAGAAGGTTTTTTTTTTTTAAAGAGTTTTGCTGACTGAAAGGGGAAAAAAATACAATTACCTGATGCCTGGGTTCCACCCCAGAGATTCTGACTTAAGTGCCTGAGGTAGAAACCAAGAAGAACATTTTTTTGTTAAGTTCCCCAGATAATTCTAAAGAGTAGTGAGGGTCGAGATGCACTCCTATGAAATCTAAAATTTGTTCCTTTATGCCTCATTGTTCTTATGTGTAAAATGGTAGCAATTATGCTTAGATTTATGGATAACTGAAAATCCTTCTGAAAGTATATTCATAACTAAATGTTAAGTGGAGTCCTTTCTTTTTATTCTATCTTGGGTCACTGAAAAAATAAAGTCTGGCTTATTAAAACCACCTGATTGATAAGCATTAATATCCATATTACAGAGGGATATTTAAAATCCATTATAGGACAGCCAAACAAAAAAAATCCCCAAACTGTAATCTTAATTAACCCACAATCAAATGCATACTAAAAATAAAGGTGTGAGTCAGAAAGATAACTGAGAGTAATAATACTTCCAGAAGATTGAGCTGTAGGTCCTCTGTGTATAAATCCTTATTTGTGGGCATGGCATGTTTTTCTCTATTCATGGAAATGAAAGGAGATCTCAGCAAAGTATTGAAGAGGTACTGTTTCTGTGCCTGTATTTCAATGGGCCCTGAGGGAGAGATCTGAAATGACAAATATGAAACTTCACTGTAAAATTACACTCAGTATGACATAAAATTTAGTATTAGAATCTCCTTAAAACGAAAAAAGTTAAAGCAATCACACCACATCCTGTAAACATATATTTTTCTTCTCCTGAAATGTCCTATTCAATCTTTTTTCAATTCTTTCAGGAAACATTCTATCATTGCCACTGAGGGGGATCAGGGCACGTCACCCCAAAATACACCACTTTGGCATAAGAACGATTTTGAGCTGAAGGCATCTGAGTTCTGAAATTGCTTATCTGCCTGAAAGCAGAGCCTTCCCCCAAAATTCAAAATCCCTGTCATAAATCCCCTCCCCGGGCAACTCTGCTCTCTCCAGGCACCACACTCAGCCCCTGCCACACACTATCACACCGCCCATCACTTCTCCTAAGGGCCCACTTAGCTTTCCAAATAGTCCCTTGCTTTCCCATAAGTGCCTTTCTCCTCCTCCCTCTCCCTGTTAAGTTAGGTGCACAGACCCCAAGTCCAACCCTCCTTTGAGTTGCTCAGGGCTGGGCACCATGTGAATGCAGGATGCACCTGTTAATAAGCTTCTGTTTTTCTCTTGTTGATCTGCTTTTGTCAGACCAATGTATAGGGCCTGGCTGGAGAACCCAGCAGGATAGAAGGAAAAATAATTTATTTTCTTCCCCTACAATACTTTGATATCTGACTTTTACATTTACATATATACATCTCTCTCAGCTTTAAAAAGCTATTTTTTTAAAATCTGGTAAAAAAAAAAAAAAGTACCTGAAAGAGTCAAAGTTTTAAAACCCTTGGAGACTCTGGGTGTAGTCGCTTTAACTTTTCAAACTAAATATTAAAACAACAAAAACCATACTGAAGTGCTTATAGTGTGACTGCTGTAAAGAAGAGAGTGAATAACGGCAAAATATCTACAGCAGGTCCAGCGATGCATTAAGATCAGCCTCCGCTCCATGAGGATCCTCACCAAATACAGTTTGATGATTCTATTTAACCCACTTTACTAATACTATTTCATCTTTTATCATCATTCCATTATTTATGTCTTACTAAAAGATAAATTTGAAAGACTAAAATTGTATGGTAGCAAAATAAGTTCAAATTAAATTTTCCTACTTGAAAAGCTAATAGAGAACTACATTTTATAGTGGGGAAGACTGGAAACACCTTATTGCTATTAATAATGGCGGATAAAATAAAGGAAAGGTGAGTTCTAAGTACAGTACTCCCGAAAATTAATAAAGCATTTAACATACAACTGTGATAGATATATAAAGTCGTGTAGGCAAACACTGAGCAGTATCTCCTCAATTAGAAGAAAATTAGCTTTAGAAGCATCAGAGATACAGAGCACTTCTGCCACATGAAAAAAAGCACATGAAAGACACAAAATATACTTATTACTTTTAGCATGTTAAAAACAATCACATCAAAAAAAGTATACAGATAAAAATGTCATAGATGACATAAGAAAATAGTGTGTGTATATATATATTTTGCATATATATATGTATATATATATATAAATCTACAGTATTTACCACTGTTGACACATATATTTTGGAGCAGCTCAGATGCTACTATCATAACCTAAATTATACAGCTTGGTTTATTACAAGTTCACAGAATCATGGTTTAAAAATTGGAATTAATATCCTCAGCTACATGTTTTATCTACATTTCTTTCTAAGCCTCCACACGATCTGAATCAAGAGCCCAGGGAGAGCGGGATTTTGTGTGCACTTTAGCATAGAGCAGGGAGCTGCTAACACACTGCCATTTGTTTTGCTGTTTAATAACATCATTACCAAGTTGATTAAAATTACATTAGACTCATTATATACATAAAAAATATCGTCACATTCGCTAGCTAAACAAATGTTACTCTCATTTGAAAAGACATACTTCGGTACCTTGAAAGTTTAAAGCCCCAACTTGCAACAAGAAGAGCCCTCGATGTTAGGTTTTCTACTCTCGTCCTTGCTCAAACCCGAGGGAAGTATGCTGAAAACCAGCTCTCCAATTAAACACAAAGTCAGGCTTTCTGGGGGTGCCCAAAACTGTCCCCATGTTTTGCTAATTGTAGTGTAATAGACTATTTTTAAAAGACACTGTTAATTTTTTAACCATGAACCTGAATTTGTTTTCACTGCAAAAGAAAAAAAGGAGACTTTTGGAAGTATGAAAGTCATACTATTTTTTAAAAAAGATTAAAACCTTAGACTCCTATTAATAATTAGGATCATTTTTACAAGTTTACACAATGATAATTTAATGGCCTAAATGTAGCAATATCCACTGATTACCAACCTTTAAAGAAAGAGTGCCAGAAAAAGCTCATGTAAATGAACAGCCCAGGCCCTGCAGGAATTTAAAGGGCAGAAATAAGAAGTAACCATATTGTTAATCCTGCTTTCAAATGGATTTCAAAGGAGTCTGTTCTGCTGCCCCATGTGAGTGCTTGAGGAGCCTAACTTGCAACCCCTCCTGCTAGCACCGACAGAGAGCAGGATTGCAGCACTTTCCCTGCATCTGGCAACGAGCATTCTGCTCTGAGCTTCACAAGAGGCAGACCAGAACAAAGGGCACAGATGCACCAAAACTGCTCTAAAACTGATCGTGGGGTACGAGCAGCGCCCCACCTTTGGCCATGAACTTACTCCAAGTGCCCCAGGGTTTAAGCACCATTCAGTGGTGAGCCTTTCTCTCTCCAGTGTCTTTAATTTTCAGAAGGAAAGAAGAGGGCCACAACTGCAGAGAAGCTGCATGAAGTCAGGGCAAAACCCGATGGCACTCTAGGACCTGGGGGAAAAATATGGGGGCGGGGGGGAACTTGGCTGAAAGACAAGTTAAGGAAAGGAAGAAGAGTAAATCATTTCATGGATGTAGATCAAAATTAATTTTGTTAATGTTCCTTTAGTTCTGTGTTCAAATGTGTGTACATGGAGGCCTTCTGGTATCTACTGAAAGACACACACACTAAAGCCTTAAAAATATCTATTCTACACAGTTTTTCAGTGCTTTCTAATGTTACTCAAAACAGGATGGGCTAATGGCGCAAAAATGCTCAGGTTTTGGAGAAAGATATAAATGAAACCAAGTCATGAATTATCATTATGCGTGCATCCCTAAATGCTATTGCTATGTTTCCATGTTAAATTCTTTTTAACAGGTTCAGTGATGATGCAATTTAAAAATGCTCATCATAAGCAGCATCTACATGGGGATGAAACACTCCTATATATTCTTATTACTAGCATACACTGGAATTGTGCAAGATGTTTATGTTTACAATAGTATAAAATACTGCTTTGGCAATTATAAACATAGCAATGTAGGTTTCAAATGGTTTCTATTCTCTTGTCTTTACCAAGTATAGATAAATTCTCACAGCAATACTGATTCTTGAATAGAAAGTCCATCCCGATTTCTGTAGTGATACACTGGAGGTGAGGGCCCTGAATATTGATACCCAGAGGAACTGGCATCTTCTAAACCTGGGGAAGTTCTATATCGCACTGGACTATCTACTGAAACTGCCGGGAGGCTATGGTCCTGAAAGGGAACATGCTGAAAGGCGGAATATTTTGGTAAATTGCTCAAGTGGCCACGGTTAGCATCCTGAGTCCACAACTGTCCATGAGTCTCGGGTCTGTACGTGTAACTAACTTCCGACCATTTTCTGTTATCTGGCAGATAATCCATGGGAGGAATGATGAATTGTCCATTCTTTGGTGACTCTGAATTGCCTGCATATCCCCCGGCACCAGTGTCAACGGGAAGAACTTCTATGCGGCTGGAGGGCAGCACCACAGGAAGCGGGCGGCTGTAAGATTTCTCTGGAGAAATATCGACTGACAGGGTAGAGCCATAAGGTCTCCGGGAAGGATTCATTTGAGTCCCATGGGTAAACTGTGGAGATGCAAAGCTGCTGTTAGCAGTAGGGATGCGTTTGGGAGAATTTCCATGGTAAACAGGGGGGTTACTGTAGGATGGAGGGTGCACTGTCCTGTGCTCCTCCCCATCTAACAGAGATGGGTATTTTGCATAACCTGCAGGCTGCACTTTAAAAGTAAACTTGTTTGATATTTTTGATGGACTAGAACTTGGCTCCACGTGCTTCCTCGGGCTGTGAGAGTAAACCATGTTCCTTGGACTTTGGGAGTAGGCTCTTTCTAGTGCCTCTTCAATGGAAACGCTGTTGTCATTTTCAGGTACGTTATCATACTGGGACGCAGTAGAGCCCCGTTTCCCTTCATCAGCATCCAAGACCTTCATCTTCTGCCTTACATTTGATGCCCGAGTATCAGCAGAACTTGGGATGGTGACTGTAAGTGCGGGGTGTGCTGACCTATTTTTGCCTTCGATAACATATTTGGCAGTTTTTTCAATAGCTGAAATATCTGATGGCTTATTCCACTTGGGCACAAATTCCTTCCTGGTATTTGAAGTGGCATTGCTATTTTGGTTAGCAGCTGCATGATTATATTGCCTGGAACTGTCTTGTGGACCTGATGGAAGTTTTCTTTGAAGATCTGCTTCATCTTTAAGCTTTTTACTGTCTTCATCATCTGATTTCCGTCTTAGCGCCCTTACTCGTTCTGGTGTACCAATTCTACTCTGATGGTGAGGGGAATGCTCATGTTTTTTGTGAGGCGATGAGCCACTTTCTCTTCTGCTGCTCATATGGGGACTTGACCTGCCCACACTTCTTTGTCCATTGCTCAGGTGACTAATGCAAGCAGATTCAGGTGGAAGCTGTCCCAAAGGTTTCTTTGGATATTCATCCTCTTTACCTAAAGGGAAAGATAGATTCATAAGTAATATACATACAGGGGTAAATAGTATCAAATATAAGAACCACACCATGAACAACTGCATGCTTTTCACATGTGCACTCATATACATACATATATATATATATATGCCACAGAATTTTAGGGGTTTAGAAGAAGCATTTTTTAGAGACACTGATACTAAAACATAGCAAAATGCAAAATCTTTTTAGACAGCAGGCAGGTGGAAATATTTATGAACTTATGAGTAAGGTTTATACAATTATGCAACATGTAATTCTTATGTTTTCTTAAGATACATTGTTACAGGCTTTTTCAAAAATGCAAAGCTGATATTCTCATTTTTATTACTAAAACAATCGTGCAGGTCAGTAGTTCAATGTCTTACCATTACATTACTTTTGCTTTAACCTACCTCAAATAAAACGGTTTTGAAATCTCAGTAAAACCTCTCCTATCAAATTCAAGCAGGTCTGCCAAATTGAAAAGGCAGGTGATGACCAACTGTAGTCTCAAAGTTGTCCCAAAACAGCTTATTATTGTTATTATTACTAGTATTATTATCTCAAGTACCTGCCATAGTATAACATCATGATAAAAAGAAAGAGTACTCCATCTCAAAGTTAATAACTCTAAAATGATCCTACTGCAAATGCAAAAAAGGAAAAAAAATAATTAAAAAAGAAAAAGAAAGAAAATCATACTGGGTACTTTTAGTTTTATATTTTACATAACTTACATCAGAAAATTAATGAAGAACTAAAGGAAGGTACAATAAATTGGCCATTCAGTAAACAGTTTTAGGATGTCCGCTCTCACGACTTTTATTCAACACAATACTGGAAGTCCTAGCCACAGGAATCAGACAAGAAAAAGGAATAAAAGGCATCCAAATTGGCAAGGAAGAAGTAAAACTGTCACTATTTGCAGATGACTTGTACTATATATAGAAAACCCTTAACACTCCACCAAAAAGCTACTAAAATGAATTCAGTAAAGTCACAGGATACAAAAATCAATGTACAGAAATCTGTTGCACTTCTATACACTAATAATGAAGCAGCAGAAAGAGAATTAAGAAAATAATCCCATTTACAATTGCACCGAAAAGAATACTTAGGAATAAATTTAATCAAAGGGGTGAAAGACCTGTACTCTTAAAACTATAAAACACTGATGAAAGAAATTGAAGATGACACAAAGAAATGGAAAGATACTCCATGTTCATGGACTGGAACAACAAATATTGTTAAAATGTTTATACTACCCAAAGCAATCTACACATTTAGTGTAATTCCTATCAAAATACTAACAGCATTTTTCACAGAACTAGAACAAACAATTCTAAAATGGAACCACAAAAGACCCTGAAGAGCCAAAGCAATCTTGAAAAAAAAAAAAACCAAAAACCAAAAAACTCGAGGTATCACAATTCCAGACTTCAAGTCCTATTACAAAGCTGTAGTGATCAAGACAGTATGGTAGTGGCACAAAAACAGACACACAGACCAATGGAACAGAATAGAGAGCTGAGAAGTAAACCTACAATTAGATGGTCAATTAGTCTTCAACAAAGCAGAAAAGCATATGCAATGGGAAAAAGACAGTCTCTTCAACAACTGGTGCTGGGAAAACTGGACAACTATATACAAAAGAATGAAACTGGACCATTTTCTTACACCACAAAAATAAACTCAAAATGGATTAAATACCTAAATGTGAGACCTAAAACCATAAAAATCCTAGAAGAGAGCACAGGAAGTAATGTCTCTAACATCAGCCGTAGTAACATTTTTCTAGGTATGTCTGCTCAGATACAGGAAACAAAAGCAAAACTAAACTATTGGGACTACCTCAAAATAAAAAGCTTCTGCACAGCAAAGGAAACAATCAACAAAACTAAAGGGTAACCTACGGAATGGGAGAAGATATTTGCAAATGACATATCAGATAAAGACCTAGTATCCAAAATATATAAAGAACTTATTCAACTCAACACCAAAAAGAAATCATCCAATTTAAAAATAGGCAGAAGACATGAACAGACATTTCTCCAAAGAAGACATCCAGATGGCCAAAAGACACATGAAAAGATGTTTAACATCACACATCATCAAGGAAATGCAAATCAAAACTACAATGACATAACACCTCACACCTGTCAGAATAGCTAAAATGAAACACAATGAATAGTAAGTGTTGGCAAGGATGTGGGGGAAAAAAAGGAGCCCTCGTGCACTGTTGGTGGGAATACAAACTGGTACAGCCACTGTGGAAGACAGTATTGGAGGTTCCTCAAAAAGTTAAAAGTAGAACGACCCTAAGATCCAGTAATTGCACTACTGGGTATTTACCCAAAGAATATAAAACCACTAATTCAAAGGGATACATGCACCCATATGTTTACTGCAGCATTACTTACAATAGCCAAGATATGGAAGCAGTCCAAATGTCCACTGATAGATGCATAAAGAACATGTGGTAATATACATACATAATGGAATATTAATCATAAAAAATAAAATCTTGCCATATATAACAACATGGATGGAGCTAGAGTATGATGCCAAATGAAGTAAGTCAGAGAAAGACAAATACCATGTGATTTCACTAACATGTGGAATTTAAGAAAACAAAGCAGCAAAGGAAAAAAAAAAAGAGAGAGAGACAGACAGACAAACCAAAACAGACTCTTAACTACAGAGAACAAACCGATGGTTACCAGAGGGGAGGTGGGTGGAGGATGTGTGAAGGGGATTAAGAGCACATTCATCATGATGAGCACTGAGTAATATATAACTGTTGAATCACTATATTGTACACCTGAAACTAATATAGCACTGTATGCTAACTCTACTGGAATTAAAGAACAAAACTTTAAAAGAGTTTTAAAAAATTAAAATGATTATAATGTAGATATCCAATAAATATCCTCTTGAAAAAACAACAGACTTCATTTGTAAACATTCCATGGTTTATATTACAAAATAATGTATTCTCACTTAACAATATGTTGTTGCTCTCTTCATATATCTACCCACGCATCCATCTACAATATTTACTGAGCTCGGCTTTAGGCACTGTGCTAAGTGATGCGTCCACGAGACATGAGCAAACAGACATTGTCTTTATTTTCATGTAGCTCACAGTCTTGATGGATGATAATTTTGTTATTTACCCACATATCCTACTTCTAAGATATTTAAAAAAAATATTCAGTGAATTTTTCTTTTGGGGGGGTTAGAGAACAGAAAATGATGAAGAAACAATATCCTTTAAAGAGTTAAGCTACTGGAATCAGAATTATTAGGCTAAAAATGACCTTTGTGCTCCTATCTTTTTTCTTTTCCTTTTTTTAAGCAGGCTCCACGCTAGGCTGGGCGTGGAGCCCAATGCAGGGTTTGAGCCCACGACCCTGAGATCAAGACCTGAGCTGAGATCGACAGTTGGTTGCTCAACTGACTGAGCCACCCAGGTGCCCCAACCTTTGTGCTCTTCTAATCCAGTAGCTCTTAAACTTTTTAAAAGCAGACTCTTTTTTTTTTTTCAAACCGAATTTCATATGAAGCCCCAATATATAAAGAAAATGTAAACACAGCTGCTCTGATGAAAGTGGACAGTCACCCTGTGTCCTCTTCCCTCAGCTGGGCAACTGCTCAGAGTCCGAGGGTTCAAGACCTAGTTCTGCCTGTATTCTAGAGTGGGAAGCAGAGTCTCAGAGAGCCGTGAGATCGGTCGTGGCAGATGCTGAATGGGAACCAGGACCCGTGTTTTCATTCCAGTTCTGCCTTTTATGCCACATTCATTAAACTCCAGAGATATTTTTGAAGCACATGTGAAAGCACACACAGTGAACTGGCAATTAGTTTGTTTTGTTCATGTACCATTAATACATACGTATCGAGCAAACACTATGTACCAGGCACTGCTCAGGGTGCTGGCCATCCAGAGAGGACACAAAGGCTGAAGCCCCTGTCCCCACGGAGCGTATATGGCTGGCTGTGCAGAGCTAGGAAGACAGCTAGCATCAGGAGGAGACAAAGTGATCTGGGGTGGGGCAGGACCGAACACGGCAGAGTTCTGGCAGGAACAAAGGCATCCTGTGCCTTGAGGGGGAGACAGGAAGAGAACAGCCGGGGATGAGCCTGGAGGAACACAAGAATCACATCACACAGGGCTTTGAAGACTACAGTACGGACTCTGAATTTCCTTCCGAGTTAACTGCAACTCACGGAGGGCTTTTCAGCAAGACAGAAACATCATCTGATACCTATCTTACCAAGTTCACCTTGGTGGGTTGGACTTTGATTACGTAATAATTACTGTTGATAACAGTAACAGTAATAACTAATATTCATTACGCACTTACCACGTGTCAGCCACCGCTCAAAAAGCTGTACACACAGCATTTAGCAACAGGCATATAACTTAGGCCACCACTGTGACTCTCGTTCTACAGAGGAAACCAAGGCACCAGTGAACCTGCATAGGGGCTCCAGCTGGAAAGTGGCAGATGCACAGTTCAAACCCAGAGCTGATTCCAGAGCCCTCTGGATGGAACTCATGAGAAGGGGCTGCTTCTCACATACACTGTAAGGTCGGGTCCACACACTTGCTCATGTGCTAGGTGTGGGCTGTGAGGGATGAGCAGAGCAAAGGGCCTCCGGGATTAAAGACGGCACTCGATACTGCTCAGTGACAGAGGGTGCAACCAATATTGCTTTCGTATCTTTTTTTTTTTTTTAAGATTTTATTTATTTGAAAGAGAGACAGCACAAAAGCGGAGGGAGCAGCAGAGGGAGAGGGAGAAGCAGACTCCCCGCTGAGCAAGGAGCCAGACGCGGGGCTCAATCCCAGGACCCTGGGATCGTGACCTGAGCCGAAGGCAGATGCTTAACCAACTGAGCCACCCAGGTGTCCCTGTTCTCATATCTTTTTATAAAAAAGGCATTTTACAGTATGTGGACACAATATTTTAAGTGATAACCCAACCTCTGAAA